CGGGTGGATTTGAACCAATAACCTGTGGTTAATAGCCCAACGCGTAACTCACGATGCCACCAGGCCTCCACAGAGTTCTGCTTTTTCTCATTATGTTTGCTCTTACTGTGTTGGGTTTTTGTTGTTGTTGTTGTTTGTTTTTTAATGTTTTTCATTGTAATTAAGGTGAAAGTTTATTTGGTCACTTGTTTTGTTTTAATACCACATTCTTTCAAGAAATATTTTGTTATACTCTTGCTTGGCTAGCGCCTAAAACATATTCTGAATCTGTTTACTGGAAGCTGTAGCTCTAGATTTGAACCTCTCTACACGAGCCTAACCTATTAAGCCACCAAGGTGCCCTGGTGGTGTAGCGGAGTACACATTGGGCTACTAACCAGAGAGTTAGCAGTTCAAAACCACCAGCCCTTCCACAAGAAAAAGCCGAGGCTTTCTACTCCAGTAAAGAGTTACCATATCAGAAATCCAGAGAGGCAGTCATACCCTGTCCTATGGGATTGCTAAGAGTTGAAACAGACTCAATGGCAGTTTATTTATTTTATTTTTTAGCTTTGAGTTTGGTTTTCTGTTTGTTATGAAACAGAAGCCCTGGTGATGCTGTGGGTTAAGCATTGGACTGTTAGCCAGCAGGTCAACAGTTCAAGCCCACTAACCACCCCTCAGGAGAAATATAAGACTGTCTTGTTCCCATCGCGGCTTGTGGTCTTGGAAACCATGCGAAGCAGTTCTGCTCCATCCTGTGGGTTTGGCTTTCAGGTTGGGTCGTGGGCAACAGTGACGATACAGGAGAAGGAGCATCCCCTGACCATGATTTATCATCCATTGAGTTAGTTAAAGTTTAGTGTGCCAACCTGGCTGATAAACACAGGTGGGGTTAATTGAAGGGTGGAGGGATAAATGGCTCGGTGAGCCTCGCCATTCAGTTCTCAGGTCTCTTGCTTTCTGATGGCTGGACTAGGGTACAGCTGCCTTAGCCAGTTCCCTGCTTCAACTGGCAAGGCTCACTTCCTGCAAGACATCCCCAAGGAGAAG